CAGGCAAGTACACTAATGCTGAGCTACAACTCTAGCCCTGAACTTTAGTTTTTTTATTTTGAGATTTATATTGAAAATAAATATTTTTATTATTTATTTTTATTTTATTTCTCACTAAGTTGCCTAGGCTGGCCTCCAACTAGGGATCCTCCTATCTTAGTCTCCAGAGTTGCTGGGATTATAGGTATGTGTCATCACACCCAGTTCTCATTTTTCTTTTATGGCCTCTTTTTGTCTTAGAATAATTAACTACTGAATTTCTACTGAATTCTAATTTGTTTCTAGAGATGACTGTTCATTGAATTACTTAGTAAGAGCAGTCTATGTATCTCATCTATTTTTTTTTTACTTTTCTCACCCATAATTAATAAAAGAATCAAGGGTAGCATTTTTCAACTCTGATTGACAATTTAAATGACTGTTGGAAATGATGTGGGAAAACAGGCACCCTTGTAAACTGTGAGAAAGAAAAGTGATGCTAAAGTTTGCTAGTAATTTGACAGTATCTATAAAAAGGTAAGACACAGCCTTTTGACACTGCAATGCTACTTTTAGGATCTGCTGGACTCATTCTTTTTCATCAATATTCATTGTAGCACTATTGGTCATAGCTCAAACACACACATCTGGAAACTACTGAAGTGTTATGAATGTGAGACTGGCAAAATACAGTCGTACTGTATGGAATCCTCTGCAGCCATTTTTTAAAATGACATAATTCTATGTATATTCATTAAAAAAGTAAACTTTATGTTTAAAGTGGGGAAGTCAGTTTCTGCTTTACATGCTGCTATAGTTTAGATCTAAAATGTTCCCCAAAGAAACATGTGTTGAAGGTTTGATCCCCCAAGCAGTACTATTGAGAGGTGGTGGAACCTTTAAATGGTGAGGACTACTAGGAGGAATTAGGTAACTGAGGATGTGTCTTCAAAGGGGATATTTGGACCATGACCCATCCTCTCTCATTTTCCTTCCTTGTCACCAAGAAGTGAAAAATGGCCTCCTCTGCTACATACTTCTATCATGATATACTGTGCCACCACAGGCCCAAAGCAACAAGGCCAACCAACCATGGACTGAAATCTCTGAAATCATGAGCCAAAATAACTTTTCCTCCTCTAAAGTTGATTACCTCAGGTATTTTGTCACAGTAATGAGCAGTTAACATATGTATACTACCATTTCACAATATGCAAAAATATAAAATTTTAAAAATATTTATAATAAACAACATATTAGTGAGTTTGTATAATTAAATAAGTATATTTATACATGAACAAATATATACATTTGTTTATATGCAGAAAGATTTGTAAGATAATATCTTACACTTTTTTCAGGATATGATTTATGTAGCAAAATAATTGTCCCACGCTAGGCTCAAAAGATTTAAAAAGGTATCTGTAAGTAACTCAGTTTTTAAAAAGTCATTTTTTAATATTATAAGATTATGAAAAAAATGTATTTGAGAAGATATTAAATGCTAAATTTAAACTTCTAAAAATTGTTTTGAAACATTCAATGTATCTCTAAGTTTGCTAACAGCAATATCATACTTTAATGATTTCATGCTTGAAATGGCTACATGTGATTCTTGATCAAAACTTTTTAAAAATGGCATAATCTAATTATAGATGGTCAGTACTCATGAAAAACTTTATTCACACTAGGCTATAATTTTTAAATGTATAATTATTTTATAGATGCACAAAATGTTTATTTTTTATTGATTGTCTTTTCCTTTTCTTTCCTTGACAAATGTATGTTAAAATTGCTTTTGTTATGTGAATGAATTCCCAACATAATCAAACATTTCCTTACCAAGTGTTTCACAATCTCAGGAATCTCTCCTTTGCTAAAACATATGTGGCTTATCATATCAGTCACCCTCTAAGTAGTTCAAATACCCCCAATAGGGCACACAAGTTTTAGGAGTAAAAATATTCATGATATACACCGTGTCCTGAGTTAAATAATGTGTCCTCAAGATCTTATCTATCCAGAACCTCAGAATGTGACCTTTCTTTGGAATAGTTCTCTTTGCAGATGTAATTAAGGTAAGATTTGAGAGAGTTCATTTTGAATGGGAGTGAGCCCTAAAAGTAACAGGAGTATCTTTACAAGACACAAAGAGGAGTAGACACAGGGACACAGAGAAAGTGACACAAGTACAGAGGCAGAGACTCGAGTGCCTCATCCACAAGCCAAAGAACAATTGTTGGCAACCACCAGAAGCTGAGAGCAAGCCATGGAATGACTCACCCTCACAGATGCCAGAAGAGACCAATGATACTTCAAAGTCAGACTTCTAGACTCTAGAACTGTAAGAGAATAAATTTTTGTTGTTTTAAGCTTCCCCATTTGAAATAATTTGCCTGAGTTGCCCTAAAATGCTAATACGCAGAGAGAGAAATGGGAGCCCCTGCGACATTTGTCCTGTCTTGCCCCCCAGATTCCCAGGTGTCTCACAGCAGGTGCTTAGCCTCTAGAAGTTCCATGGGCTCAACTCTACGTCAGTGTTGGCAGCCACTCTGCAGAAACAGGTGCCCAGATGGCAGAACCCCTTAACCAGGCTCACCCCTCCTACACCTTCTCATTATTGGACCTGTACCATGCTTCATCCTAGTCAGGTGCCCTCAGTAAAGCATCACCACAGAAGTCACAGTTCAGGGGCTTACCTGTGACTCTCCTAGGATGCTCAGTAGCTAGGTTTGGGGTGTGGGCCTATTATATCCCACATATAAAGGGAAGAGTTTTATTATCTTTTTTATTTTTTTAAATGTAGATGAACACAATATATTTCTTTATTTTTATGTGGTGCTGAGGATCAAACCCAGTGCCTCACACGTGTAAGGCAAGCGCTCTATCACTGAGCTAGAGCCCCAGACCAGGAAGGAAGGATTTTATTTTTACTTCATTTAGTCCTATGTTAATTGAATCATTTTAAACTTCACTATGCATTTTCTAAAAATTAGCTTATATATAATGTTTTGCTTTTTTTAAAGAAATACATCAAATAGAACATTTTCACAGAAAACAAACAAAAACTCCTTTTGTTTCTTTTTCCTGTCCTCATGTTTGTAACCCTGGACTCCCTGAATTTCCCAAGACCCTCCCCTGTGTCCTCACCACTCCCTGCTCTCACCTTTTCTCTGATCCTGCTGGAGCAGAGCCACTCAGCCAGAGGATGAGCTGTAGGAATAAAGTGGCTTACGACGTAGACAAACTGACAAGGAGACGTGGCCAAACCTGTCTCCTCCACAGAATGAGCCAGGCAACATTAGCCAAGTATTTCACCTGCTCTGGGCACATTTCCTAGAGTGGACACTTGTCCATAGGAGACAATAAGACCATACGAAGCTGACCTGAGCAATCAATGGCACAATGAGGCAGCAGACATGCCTGACACCGAGGAGGGACTTTTTCATATAGTTGCGAGGAAAAGCAAATCACCTCTGATTCTCTCTGGAGCTGGGCTCCCTTTGATTTCTCTCCACTCAGCATTTCTTTGGGACTCCTTGTTCCCATGACAAAAGGTAGCCCCCAAGGCTTGAGCATTTGAGTTCCAGCCTCTGGCACTTGATCTATGTGATGCATCTGAATCCTAACTTCACCTTGTGTGAGAAAACCACATTGGCCACGTTTGGGTGACAACTACCAGTCCACTGTTCTGTGTTCAAGGAGCAAACTCTGTGAATGGGGTGCAGACCTCAGCAAGGAGGCTGACTTATGAACTAAGAGATCCCCCAAAATGGAGCTCTTGCCGAGTCACTTAGTACCTGTGCTCTCTGGGACTTGTCATAATCTCTCTTTTTTCCTCAACTATTAAAGAATTGCATTATGAGAAAGTTTCTGTCAATTCTAAAGCTCTATGTTTTGATGATTCAAATTGAACAATTGTGGGAATCACAGCTGACTTTATATGCAGATAGAATAGGATAGCCAGCATGTCATTCAGAGTCTTTGAATGACATGCTTTGAGTAAAGGTAGATTTTGTTGCCAGCCATTGCTAGGAGGAGGGGGAGGTATAATTAAGGAAGAACCACTGTGGTTACAGCTATCAAGGGAAACAACAGGATATTCTCATGGCCTGATGATCTCCTTCTCCAAGATCCTTATCTGCCGATGGTGGTCTACCTTTCTGACTCACTTTCATAAAAACTAATGAAGAGGTTGAATAATATATCCTGTGTGACTGGAGGCTGCTATGGACCAAACTGCATTTCCACTCAAATTCTCAAATTCAAAAATGAAGCTTCAGTTCCCAATATAACAATATTAGGAAGTGTAGCCTTTGGGAGTTAATAAATCATGATATTAGTGTCCTTGTTAGAAAAGGCTCTAGAGAGTTATGTCTTTCTCTTTTTCTATGTCCCTTTCTCCCTTCCTCCACCATGTAAGGACAACACATGAAGGCAGCTGTCACAGAGGCCAGGAAGAGGACCCTAATCAGAACCTAACTATGCTGGCACCCTAATATTGGACATCCAACCTATAAAACTGAGACAATAAATGCTCTTGGTTAATCCCCAAGTCTGCATTCTATGTATAGCTAATAAAGGGGCTGGAGGGGTCTTGCTGAAATACAGACTCAGAGTCTGAAGGGATAGTTCAATGTAGGAACACAATGTCACCATACCAAATACGATGGTCCTTCACTTAAGGGATTTATAGTCCATAAAGCTCAAATATCTCTAGATCATCACTACTGGAAGTGGTTGAGAAGAGGTAAAAGCAACACTATAGTATAGGTCAGTGCTTCCCGATGTTCTTTACAACAAATAAGGTCAATGTAGGAAATGATGGCATGCACAGAGTTCACCAATAGAGGTTCAAGGTTTCTGGCCTCCCCAGTCCTTGTGCTGCTTCCCAAGAGCTGAGAGTGACAGTAACTCAGCATAACCATAGTCTACCCCAGTGTGTTAGTCAGCTTTTTATCCATGGGTCCAAAATACTTGACATGAACAACTTAAAGTAGAAAAGATTTATTCTGGCTCACTGTTTTGGAGGTTTTGGTGCATGGTCATCTGCTCCAGTACTCTGGATTTGAGGTGAGGCTGAACATCATGGCAGAAGGATGTGCTGGAAGAAAACTGCTCAGCTCATGGCAGCTGGGAAGCAGAGAGACACAGAAAGAGAGAGGAAGGAACCTGAAGAAGATAAATCCTTCCAGGGCATGCCCTCAGTAATCCACTTCCTCCAACTAGATCCTACCTCCCAGCAGCACACTCAGCTATCAATAGATTAATCCATTTGATAATCAAATAGTTTAATTGAATAGATTAATTTACTAATGAGATCACATCTCTCGAAATCCAAAAAGTCCCACCTCTGAACCCTTTTACATGGGAGAACATACTTTTGACAGATGAGATTTGGGGGAACATTCTGCATCTGAACAATGATATCCAGACACACCAGTAGAAGCTTTTGCAGTAAAGAAACTGTGTGAGTATGGGTAAGATGGTAGGGATTCATCAAAAGCAGCAGCAAGAACCCTCTAGACAGGGACCTGGTCTTGGGCTTCTACCTGGGAAACTGCAAGCCAATCCCTTCTTGCTCTCTGGCTGGCTAGCTTTAGTGGAGTTTATCAATTCCCTGAATGTTACTCAACAGCTTTATACTCAGATACAGGTGAACAGAAATGCACTGCTACAATTTGGGTAGCTGTTACTCTTTTTTACTTTTAGTTCTATCTGGTCATTTTTCTCTGTCTAAGCATTGCTTTAACAGAGACAAAGATGATAACACATTGCACAACTGAGAACTGGGAAGTAAGCAAAAAAGAGAAGAGAAAAAAAAATGCCCGGTCAGCCAAAATAGATGGTGCAAAGTCCATGTGTAAGACTGATGTGATGCTTGCATAATTTTGAAACTGCAACTGAGAACAATTCTAACTTCTCTTACTGCTATGAAAGAAGGAAGACCTTATTGGTTGTAGTGAATATTGCTCCAATTTCCCAAGTACCTATTTCTTTTTTTTGTTTGTTTGTTTCTGGTCTTTATTTCTTTTTTTTTATTATTGTTGGTCGTTCAAAACATTACACAGTTCTTAATACATCATATTTCACAGTTTGATTCAAGCGGGTTATGAACTCCCAACTTTACCCCGTATACAGATTGCTGTATCACATCAGTTACCCTTCCATTGATTGACATATTGCCTTTCTAGTGTCTGATGTATTCTGCTGTCAGTCCTATTCTCTACTATCCCCCCAAACCCAACCACCTCCCCTCCCCTTTTCTCTCTCCCAAGTACCTATTTCTTAGTTGCATTTCTGAGGCCACTACGTAGTATCTTTGTCACAACTTTAGAGTAACATGAAAGTAGATGTTTACTCCTAAGATCACTACTGAAAAAACACTTAATGCTCCCTGCTTTGAATATGTAAATTATATTGAAACAGTCATCAGTGCCACGGGAAGACTTCCCATAGTCCTACAGGCACATGGTAGGAATGCAGTTCCCCAACTTCTCATTTGTTAGGTGTGGTTATATGGTTTACCTTGACAAAAGAAATGTGAATAGATTCAAAAACTTTAAGATCTGAGCATGATTGGCCAAATTCTGCTGCCCCACCCCTGTTGTTCCCAAGAGTGAAAGTGGCACAGTTGTGATCTCTAAGTGAGGATAACATGAGCAGAGTCTCCATCAGTCATTGTCATCTCTATTGTTCATAAGCCACTGAGGTCTATGAATGATTTGTCAACCTACCAAGGCCTTTTCTTACTGACGCATACAACACACTTTAATTGTAAATGCAGAAAAAACCCAAATCATTCCTCAATGCTGTCCTATCTTACATACGGTTAGAACAAACTAAACTATGTAATACTATGTAATACCCAATAGTTTAGCAAATTAAAAATGGATACTTCCAATAGGCAGATCTACTAATTAATTGCTTGTAAAAGGAATAGCTGAGAGTCAAAAGTAAAACTACAACAAGCAGAAAGAGAATCGATTATATTCATCTGGAGTGATAGTAGCTCACCCCCTCACTCCCCTGCCAAACTGCTTTCTGCAGTTTTAGTTATAGTCAATTCAAGTGGGAAAACATTAGGTGGAAATTTTCAGTAATAATCAATTTGTAAGTTTTAATTGCACCCACATTTGAGTAGCATGATAAAATCTCACACCACTCTGCTTTGTTCTGTCTGGAATATGAGGCATTCTTTTGTCCATTGTATCCACAGTGTATATGCCACCAGCCCACATACACTTAGTTGCTTAGTAGCCATCTATATCAAATGTCTGTGATGTTACCAGGCTTGTGTACAATTAGCCTTTAGTTTACTTAACAATGGTTTCAAAGTTCAAGAGCAGTGACGATACGATAGTAATTTAGATATGCCAAAGAGAAGCCATTTTCTTCCTTTAAGTGAAAAGATGAAAATGCACAAGATTATTTTGAGAGAAACCATACACACATAAATTTAAAATCAGTATATTGTTATAATTATTTCATTATTATTATTATTATTCATTATTATTGTTAACCTCATGCTGTCCTTAACTTTTATACAAACTTTATACATAGGGTTATGTCTTATTTGTGGTTTCAAGCATACACTGGGGGGCATGGAGTGAATCTTAAAGTCCTGAACCATCAAACTCCCAAATTTCCCAGTCAAAATTCTAGTAGAGGTGATTTTACTTCTGTATTTCTTTTATGTCAACCATAAAAATTTAGATCCAGAAGATAAAAATGTCTAGTCATCCTTTTATCTTCTAAAAAGAAGATAATATTAGACACTGGGAATAGCAAAGGGAAACAATTTAAATGACAGAAAAATGGATGTCTTTGCAGTAAGCCTAAGGAAGGGTAACTGACATAAAACTGGAGCCTAGATATGCACTCTTGATATTTTTGAGGGATTAGGAGGGAGAAGTGTAAGTAAAACAGAACAACAGTGTCCACCTTAGAATAAAATTATTGTGGAGTTTAGAGAAAATGTTTTTGTGTTTCTACAGAGTTGAGGCCTTTGGAATAAATTTTGTGTATCCTGGACGAGCAACACGTCCTGAGAAGTTAATTTTCAACGCCATACTTGGTGAGAGGACTTCAGAGAGTCTTGTGAGATGTATGTATATATCAAGGAAAAATGAGGCCCAGGACCTGGAGACATCTCTAGGTTAAAAAAGAGACACCAGAGTTCACATGGTTCTTGGGAGAATATATTTCCATTCCAAAAGGTTAAGAGCAAGAACCTGGGATCCTTTCCATTCCATCTCCATGGAATGAAGTTCATCTCCTCTTCTCCTTCCTTCACCTAAGAAGTATTTTCAGTATTTCCTTGTCACCCTAGTAGGGAGCACTGGGGTAAAGGGTCAGACAGAGTTATTGGGTTATACATAATAATAACTTCTGCTTTTGATCCAGAACATTTCATGTATGAATTCAGGGATAAATTCATGGTTGATATTGAAAACATCACACTTAGCAAAGCTAAGGAAAATAGACCCAAATGCCATTCAGGTCTCTTGACTTCCTAAGGATTTGATATGAGTTGTTCTAAACTCCATAAACTATGTAGAGTTAAATGCACTTTTCTAGATTTTATGAACACTCTGAGTGGGGAAGGAAAAGAGGTCATGTTCTCATGATTCCATTTTCCAGGGAGTTCCAAACTCTATGGAATTTGTATTTTCTACTCTACATGCTACAGATGTTGCTTTGTCTCCATTCTTATATGTGAGACTCAGTCTTTCCAGTTTTTTTTAAAGACTATCTTATTAAAAGAGAAAAATAAATCTGATGGCTTAAATAAAATTCAATTTTATTTTATTTATCTTTCACATATAATTTAAGCTGATCCATTCTTAAAAGGGAATGCATAGAAAACAAGAATGGCTTGTTTATTGTTTATTTTATTAAAAGAAAATTTAATAAAACCTCTACCAAATGAAGTTAAAAAAATAGGAAATTAAGCTCAAAGAAGGTGGAGGAAAGAAAAAAATAGAAATTAGTAAAATAGAAATCAAACACACAAAAGAGAGAATAGTAAAACCCAAAGTTGGTTCTTCAAAAAGAAAAAAAGATTTATGAAGCCCCAATGAAACCAATTAGGTAAAATAGAAAAAAGATAGTATTAACAAAAATCAAGAATTGTTTTTAAAAAGTTTTAAAAAGTTTTTAAATTGTTTTTAAAAAACTATTGTTATAGTTCTTACATATAATATAAAGTCATAAGAGAACATTATGCCTATCTGGTATAGTTCCAATCTGGAATGTCCTCCTAAGGCCAAGATGTTAAAGGCTTGGTCATCAGTTCAGCCCTATTGGTAGGCAGTGGACACCTTAAGAGGCAGGGCCTATGGGGAGCACTTTAGGTCATGAGAGGTAGGACTCTGAAGAGGATTATGGGACCTCATCTCTTCCTTCTTTTGTTTTAGCTTCCTGGCCATGAAGTGAATGGTTTCGATTTGCCACACTCTTCTACCTTGATGTGCTGTCACAGGCCTAAAGCAATAGGGCCAAATGATCATAGACTGAAGCCTCCAAAACTATGAGCCAAAGTTAACCTTTTCTCTTTATAAGATGATATCTCAGGGCAAACTTGGTACAATAATGGAAAGCTGATTAACACATCATCTTATGTAAATAAATTTGAAATTTAAATTAAAAATTGAAAAAGCATAAAACTGACTTGAGAATAGAAAATTTAAGGAAGTTATTACTATTAAATAAACTGATTTATAACTTGATAACTTTTCCCAGGGAAAATATAGACCCAAATTCCTTTACCAGTAAATTCTACCCAACATTTAAAAAAGGAATAATGACACTATAATCCAGCTCACCCCAGGACTGAAAAAGGAGAAATACCTCCCCATCAATTTGATGAGGCCATAATAAAATTGAACCTGAAACTTAACAAGAAATTTACAAGAATGGAAAATTATAGGCTACTTTATTCATGAACATTAATGCAAAATTCCAAAAGACATTCATAAATTATAGGTATTCCAGTGATGTCAGAATAGGTTATATAATACCATTATGGTTAAATATGCAGTGCCCCTCCTCCAAAGCTCTTGTGTTAATGAGGAATATTCAAAGGTAAAATAATTAGATTACAAGAGCTATAATCTGATAGTCCGTCCTAGTTTGAATAGAGTAACTGGGTAGTAACTGTAGGCAGATAAGGCATGACTAGGGGAGGTGGGTCACTGGGGGCATGCCATGTAAGGGTTCATCTTCCTTGTGGCCACATGCCTTCTCCCACTTCAGCTTCCTGGCTTGTATGTGGTGAGCTGTTTTCCTTGGCTACTCCCTTTCTCCATGATGTGCTGCTTCACTTTGGGTCTAGAGCAATGAAGTCAGCCATCTATGGACAGAGAATTTTGAAACCATGAACTCCAAATAAACTTTTCCTCCTTTACATTGTTCTTGCCAGGTGTCTTGGTCACAGAGACCCAATGATGAATAACAAATACTAATCTCCTAATTGCAGGACAGAAGACTGTTCAAAGCAGATGTCTTAGAAGGGGCATATGTCTTAGAAGAAGCAAACACACTGGGTATGCCGATCTACATTTACTGACTATTCACCTAATGACTCCCCTAACTCAGTGTTACATAAAAGAAACAGAGATCAAGTAGACAACAGCAGTCTCAGTGAGTTGGGAA